TCCTTGGCTTGTGGCCACATCACTCCAATATCTGCCCGTGTCTTCACACCCCCTTCTCCTCCATGTGTGTATTCCCTTATATGTCTCTGATAAGGGCACTTATTGGATTTGGGGTCTACCTGGACAATCCAGGATGACCTCCTCATTTCATGATCCTTAACTTAATTTCATCTGCAAAGATCCTTTTTTTTTTTTTTTGACAGAGTTTAGCTCTTGTCACCCAGGCAGGAGTGCAATGGCATGATCTTGGCTCACTGCAACCTCTGCCTCTGGGGTTCAAGTGATTCTCCTGCCTTAGCCTCCTGAGTACTGGGATTACAAGCGCCCACCACCACACCAGGCTAATTTTTGTATTTTTAGTAGAGACAGGGTTTCTCCATATTAGCCAGGCTTGTCTTGAACTCCTGACCTCAGGTGATCCGCCTGCCTTGGCCTCCCAAAGTGCTGGGATTACAGGCGTGAGCCACCAAGCCTGGCCTGCAAAGACCCTTTTTCTAAATAAGATAACATTGACAGGTCTCAGGGATTAGGACATGGACATATCTTTTTGGAAGCTACCACTCAGCCAATATATGTGTCCCCAAGGCCAACTAATGAGGTGGGGGTATGGAACCCTTTGTAAGGGCCCATAGCAATGACTAATGTATTCAGTTTTTATATTTCTCAGTTAATGGAATATTTATGCAATATAAAATAGACAATGAAAAGTAAAATAAAGCCTCAAGTCCCCATTGCTTTGTTGTGTAGGGACCAGAATCTGTGCTGGTTCTCTTCCTTCTACCTGAGCTGATAAGATGTCCGAGGCTGGGATGAGAATGTTCACACCATTTGGGTGCTGCCTTTCCCTCTAAGAGTAATTCATGGGAACTCTCCATCTGTCCAAATAGTCTGCAACTTAAGTCTTCAAAATTTTTCTGACTGCTGAATATGGGGTCACCACTCTTAAGTGTTATTTTATGAGTGTTTAATGATTTTTTTAGAGATTTCTTCTTGGTTTGGATCCATTGCTGGTGAGCTGGTGTGATCTTTTAGGGGTGTTAAAGAAACTTGCTTTGTCATATTACCAGGATTACACTTCTAATTCCTTCTCATTTGGGTAGACTATGTCAGAGGGAAGATCTGGGGCTCAAGGTCTGCTGTTCGGATTCTTTTGTTCCTTGGGGTGCTCCCTTGATGTAGTGCTCTCCCCCTTCCCCTAGGGAAGGCATACTAAAAGGCAAAAAATAGTTTAAAGAGATAGACCAAGTGTCAAACCCACATTCAGAGGTGGCAGGGATGTTGAAATTATGACTGAATTTTAAACAATTATGATTAAATGCTAAGCACTCTTGGACAGGAGTGGTGGCTCACGCCTGTAATCCCAGCACTTTGGGAGGCCAAGGGGGCGCGGATCACCTGAGGTCAGGAGTTTGAGACCAGCCTGACCAACATGGCAAAACCCCGTCTCTACTAAATATGCAAAACATTTAGCTAGGTGTGGTGGCGTACGCCTGTAATCCAAGCTACTCAGGAGGCTGAGGCACAAGAATCGCTTGAACCCGGGAGGTGGAGGTTGCAGTGAGCCGAGACCACGCCATTGCACTCCAGCCTGGGTGACAGGGAGAGATTCTGTCTTAAAAAAAAAAATTGCTGAGAACTCTAATGGGAAAAGTAGACTGCACGCAAGAAGAGATGGGCAATGTAAACAGAAAGACAGAATTCTAATAAAGAATAAAAGGAGTGTTAGAGATGGAAGCTATTGTAAAAGGAATGAGGAATGCCTTTGATGGGACCATTAGTAGATTACACATAACTGAGGGAAAAAAATCTCTGAGCTTGTAGATAGGTCGATAAAAACTTCCCAAACAGAAATGCAAGGAGAAAAGAGAACACACACAAAAAAGAAAAAAAAAAAATGGAGCCGGGTGCGGTGGCTCACACCTGTAATCCCAACACTTTGGGAGGCCGAGGCAGGCAGATCACGAGGTCAAGAGATCGAGACCATCCTGGCCAACACAGTGCAACCCCATCTCTACCAAAAATACAAAAATTAGCTGGGCGTGGTGGTGCGCGCCTCTAATCCCAGTTACTTGGGAGGCCGAGACTGGAGAACCACTTGAACCCAGGAGGTGGAGGTTGCAGTGAGATCACACCACTGAACTCCAGCCTGGGCAACAGAGCGAGACTCCGAGACTCATCTCAGAAAAAAAGAAAAGGAACATAATATCCAAGAACTGTGGAATAACTACGAAAGTTGTAACATATGCATAAAGGGAACACCAGAAAGGGAAGAAACAAAGAAACAGAAATATTTGAAGCAATAATAACCGAGAATTTTCCCCAATTAATGTCAGACACCAAAACACAGGCAAAGACACTCAGGGAACACCAATCAGGATAAATCCCTCCAAAACCCAAAAACGACCCCTCAGCGTATCACACTCAAACTGTAGAAATCCAAGATAACAACAAGCTTCAAAGAAGCCAGAGGGAGCAAACGCCTCATCTACAAAGCAGCAAAGGTAAGAATCACATCTGACTTCTCAGAAACCACAAAAGCAAGAAGGGTAAAGTGACATATTTTAAGTGTTAAGGGAAAAAAAAACAACAACCCACCAACTTAAAATTCCATATTCTGTGAAACTATCTTTCAAACGTAAAGGGGAAAGAAACACTTTCTCAGACAAAAAAAAATTGAGAGAGTTTGGTAACAGTAGACTTTTCTTGCAAGAAATGTTAAACAAGTTTTTCAGAGAGAAGATAAAACAAAATCAGATCTACATAAAAAGGGAAGGGTAGTATAGAAGAAATAAGTGAGGGTAAAAGAAAAATTTTTATTTTTCTTATTCTTAATTGATCTAACAGATAACTGTTCCAATAACCACAGCAACAATGTATTCAGTGATTATAGCATATGTATAAATGAAATGAACTACAACAATGATACAAGAGTCAGGAGGGGGGATTAAGAATATTTCATCATTATAAGGTACTTGCACTACCTGTGAAATGGTGTTGAGTTATTCTGAAAGTGAATTTGGATGAGTTGTAAATGCATATTGCAAACTCTAGGATGACCACTGAAACAAAGTTTTTAAAAAAGTATAATTGAGTAGACTGGGTGTGGTGTCTCACGTCTGTAATCCCAGAACTTTGGGAGGCTGAGGCAGGTGGATTGCTTGAGCTCAGGAGTTCGAGAAGAGCCTGGGCAACATAGCAAAACCTTGTTTCTACCTAAAATACAAAAATTAGTCTGGCATGGTGGCCCACACCTGTGGTCTCTGCTACTCAGGAGGCTGAGGTAGGAGAATTGCTGGAGCCCACGAGTTCGAGGGTACAACAAGCCATGATCACGCCACTGCACACCAGCCTGGGTATAATTGATATCTTAAGAAAGAAGGAAAACTGGGATCATATAAAATGCTTAGTAAAAAACACAAATGGCAGAAAAAGAGTAGAAGAAAAGAGGAACAAATAGCAAGAGCCATTAACAGCAAACAGTAACAAATGTGGTAGATATTAATTCAGTTATGTAATCACTTTAAACATCAATGGTCTAAATATACAGATTAAAAGACAGATTGTCAGAGTGGATCAAGAAACAGATCGAACTATATGTTGTCTACAATAAATCTGATTTAAATATATAGACACATGTAGATTAAACATAATGAGATAGAGAAAAATATACCATGCTAACTAATCAAAAGAAAGCTAGATGCTGTTATCAAATGCATTCTTATCTTAGAGACTTGAAAAACAGATAGGAAATAATTAGTAGTTGGCATAGAGTAGTGATAATGATAATGAGTGATGGTACAGAGAAAAGGGAACCCTTGTACATTGTTGGTGGGAATGCAAATGAGTATAACCATCAGAGAACAGTATGGACTTAAAAAATTTAAAAGAGAGCTATTATATGACCCAGCAATCCCATTTCTAGATATATATCCAAAGTACATGAAGTCAGTATGTTGAAGAGGTATCTACACTGCCACGCTCATTGCAGCGTTATTCACAAGAGCCAAGATACAGAAACAATCTAAGTGCCATTAATGGATGAATAAATGTGAAACATATGAATTCTGTAAAGAAAATACAACACATACACACATACAGTGGAATATTAATCAGCCATAAAGAGGAAAGAAATCCTGTCATTTGCAACAACGTGAATGAACCTGGAGGACATTGTGCTAAGTGAAATAAGCCAGGTACAGAAAGACAAATATTGCGGCTGGGCACAGTGACTCACGCCTGTAATCCCAGCACTTTGGGAGGTGGAGGCAGGCGGATCACGAGGTCAAGAGATTGAGACCATCCTGGCCAACATGGTGTAACCCTGTCTCTACTGAAAATACAAAAATTAGCTGGGTGCGGTGGCGTGTGCCTGTAGTCTCAGCTACTTGGGAGGCTGAGGCAGGAGAATCACTTGAACCCAGGAGGCGGAGGTTGCAGTAAGCTGAGATCGCGCCACTGCACTCCAGCCTGGCAACAGAGCAAGACTCTGTCTCAAAAAAAAAAAAAAAAGGACAAGTATTGCCAAATATTGCATGATTTCACCCATATGTGGAATCTTAAAAAGTCAAACTCAGAGAAGTAGAGAGTAGAACAGTGGTTGCCAGGGGCTGGGAGCGGGGTAAGTGGGGAAAATATCAAGGGCATAAACTTTCAGTCATAAGTAAGTTCTGAGACTCTAAGGTACAACATAATAGCTATAGTTAATAATACTGTATTGTGGCTGGGTGCGGTGGCTCACGCCTGTAATCCCAGCACTTTGGGAGGCCGAGGTGGGCGGATCATGAGGTCAGGAGATCGAGACCATCCTGGCTAACACTGTGAAACCCCATCTCTACTAAAAATACAAAAAATTAGCCAGGCGTGGTGATGGGAGCCTGTAGTCCCAGCTACTCGGGAGGCTGAGGCAGGAGAATGGCGTGAACCTGGGAGGCAGAGCTTGCAGTGAGCTGAGATCCGGCCACTGCACTCCAGCCTGGGCGACAGAGCGAGACTCCATCTCAAAAAAAAAAAAAACAAAACTGTATTGTATACTTGAAATTTGCGAAAAGAGTAGATATTAAGTGTTCTTGACACACACACACACAAACACACACTCACAAAATAGTAACTATGTGACTACTTGACCCATGTATTATTTAGAAGTGATTTACTCATGTGAGTAACCATGTGTTAACTAACTTGATTATGGTAATTATCTCACAGTGCATACATATATCAAATCATTACACAGTATGTTTTAAGTGTATACAATCTTTATTTGTCAATTATACGTCAATAAAGCTGGGTGGAGGAGAAACGTGGAGCGGCTATACTAACTTCAGACGGCACAAACCTCAGAGCAAAAAAAACTATCAGGGATAAAAGGGGCCATTCTATAATGATAATGAAGCCAGTTCAGAAGACACAACAACGCTTAATGTGTAACCACAACGCGTAGATAAATCTACTATTGTAGCTGGAGACTTCAACACCCCTCTATCGGAAATAGATCTAGTGGACAGAAAAAAATTAAGGACATAGTTGAACTGAACAGCACATCAAACAACTGGGTATAATTAACGTCTATAGACAACTTTAACCAACAATAGCAGAATATTCTTCCCAAGTTCACGTGGAATGTTCATTAAATAGACTACATTCTGGGCCATAAAACATACCTTAACACACTTAAAAGAATAGAAATCATACAATGTATGCTCCCAGACCACAGTGTAATTTTTTCTTTTTTTTTTTGAGACGGGATCTCGCTCTGTCGCCCAGGCTGGAGTGCAGTGGTGTGATCTTGGCTCACTGCAACCTCCACCTCCTGGGTTCAAGCGATTATCCTGCCTCAGCCTCCCAAGTAGCTGGGACTACAGGCGCACACCACCACGCCCAGCTAATTTTTGTATTTTTAGTAGAGACAGGGTTTCACCATGTTGGCCAGGTTGGTCTCAATCTCTTGACCTCGTGATCCTCCCTCAACCTCCCAAAGTGCTGGGATTACAGGCGTGAGCCACCGCACTCGGCCCACGATGTAATTAACCTAGAAATCAATAACAGACAGATAGCCAGAAAATCCCAGAATATATAGAGATTAACTCACTTCTAAATAATACATGAGTCAAAATAGGAATCTCAAGAGAAATTTAGGAATATTTTGAGCTAAATGAAACTAAAATATGCAACTTAACACTTGTGGGATGCAGTGAAAGCAGTACTTAGAGGGAAATTTATGGCATTGTATGCAAATATTAGGAAATAAGAAAGATATGAAATCAATAATCTAAGCTTCTACAACAGGAAAATAGAAAAAGAAGAGCAAATGAAATCCAAGGTGAACATAAGAAAATAAATAATAAGAATTAGAGCAGAAATCAATGAAAGTGAAAACAAGAAATCTGCCAGGTATGGTGGCTCATCCCAGCACTTTGGGAGGCTGAGTCAGGAGGATGGCTTGAGCTCACAAGTTTGAGACCAGTCTAGGCAACACAGCAAAACCTGTCTCTACCAAAAATATAAAAATTAGCCTGTCATGGTGGTGTGTGCCTGTAGTCCCAGCTACTCAGGAAGCCGAGGTGGGAAGATGCTTTGCACCTGGGAAGTAGAGGTTGCAGTGAACCAAGATCACGCCATTGCACTCCAGCCTGCGTGCCAGAGCCAGACCTTGTCTCCAAAAAGAGAGAGAGAGAAAAACAAAACACAACAAAACAAAACAAAAAAAAAAACAAGAAAACAGAAAATCAATAGAGAAAATGAACTGGTTCTTTGAGGAGATCAGTAAAATTTATACAGATCTTACCATTAAGGAAAAAAGAAAGAAGACACAAATTACTAATATTAGAAATGAGGCCAGGCACGGGGGCTCACGCCTGGAATCCCAGCACTGTGGGAGGCCAAGGCGGGTGGATCACAAGGTCAGGAGATCAAGACCATCTTGGCTAACATGGTGAAACCCCATCTTTACTAAAAATAAAAAAAATTAGCTGGGCGTGGTGGCGGGTGCCTGTAGTCCCAGTTACTCTGGAAGCTGAGGCAGGAGAATGGCGTGAACCCGGGAGGCAGAGCTTGCAGTGAGCCAAGATCGCACCACTGCACTCCAGCCTGGGCGACAGAGCGAGACTCTGTCTCAAAAAAAAAAAAAAAAAAAGAAAGAAAGAAATGAAAGAGTGGCTGGGCATGGTGGCTCATGCCTGTAATCTCAGCACTTTGGGAGGCCGAGGTTGGGGGATCACCTGAGGTCAGTAGTTTGAGACCAGCCTGGCCAACATGGTGAAATTCTGTCTCTACGAAAAATACAAAAACTAGCTAGGTGTGGTGGACTGTGCCTGTTAATTCCAGCTACCCAGGAGACTGAGGCAGAAGAATAGCTTGAACCCAGGAGGCGGAAGTTGCAGTGAGCCGAGATCACACCACTGCACTCCAGAAATGAAAGAGGGACATCACCATAGTCCCCCACAGGCATTAAAAGGATACTACAGGAACACTATAAACAATTCTATGCCCACAAATAGCCTAGATGACATGGACCAATTCCTTGAAAGACACGATCTGCCAAAACTCACACAAGAAAAAACAGACTATCTGAATAGTCCTATATCAGTTAAAGAAATTGATTCACACTTGAACCCAGGAGGCAGAGGCTGCAGTAAGCCGAGATTGCGCCACTGCACTCCACCTGGCAACAGAGCCAGACCATCTCAAAAAAAAAAGAAGAAAGAAAGAAATTGATTCAATAATTAATAACCTTGCAAAATAGAAAGCACCATGTGAGGCTGAATGTGGTGGCTCACGTCTGTAATCCCAGCACTTTGGGAGGCCAAGGCAGGTGGATCACTTGAGGTCAGGAGTTCGAGACCAGCCTGGCCAACATGGTGAAACCCCATCTCTACTAAAAGTACAAAAATTAGCCAGGTGTGGTAGCACATGCCTGTAGTCCCAGCTACTTGGGAGGCCAAGGCAAGAGCATCTCTTGAAGCTGGGAGGCAGAGGTTTCAGTGAGCCAAGATTGCACCACTGTACTCCAGCCTGGGCGACAGAACAAGACTCCAACTCAAAAAAAAAAAGAAAAAGAGGCCGGGCGCGGTGGCTCAAGCCTGTAATCCCAGCACTTTGGGAGGCCGAGACGGGCGGATCACGAGGTCAGGAGATCGAGACCATCCTGGCTAACCCGGTGAAACTCCGTCTCTACTAAAAAATACAAAAAAAAAAACTAGCCAGGCCTGGTGGCGGGGCCTGTAGTCCCAGCTACTCGGGAGGTTGAGGCAGGAGAATGGCGTAAACCCGGGAGGCGGAGCTTGCAGTGAGCTGAGATCCGGCCACTGCACTCCAGCCTGGGCAACAGAGCGAGACTCTGTCTCAAAAAAAAAAAAGAAAAAGAGAAAAAAAAAAAAGGACTGTGCTAGATGGGTTCACTGGTGAATTCTACCAAATATTTAGAGAAGAAATTAAAATTCTCTACAATCTCTTCCAGAAGTTAGAAGCAGAGGGAATACTTCTGAACTCACTCTGTGAGGTCAGCATTATCGTAATCCCAAAAGTAGACAAAGGCATTATAAGATAATAAAATGGCAGACCAGTATCTCTCATAAACATGTATGCAAAAATCCTCAAAGAAAAACTAGCAAATAGAATCCCGCAACGTCTAAAAAACTTTATGCACATTGACCAAGTATGTGAGACTAATTGAATATTCAAAAACCAATTAATGTAATGTAATTCATTACATCAACAGACAAAAGAAGAAAAATCATATGATAATCTCAGGAACTGCAATAAAAAGCATCTTCCTCAACTTGATGAAGAACATCTACCAAAAACCTACAGCTAACATCATCCTTATGGTAAGAAGCTACCAGTTTTCCCATTAAGACCAGGATCAAGGGCTGGGCACGTGGCTCATGCCTATAACCCCAACACTTTGGGAAGCCAAGGTGGGTGGATCACCTGAAGCCAGGAGTTTGAGACCAGCGTGGCCAACATGAGGAAAACCTGTCTCTACTAAAAATATAAAAATTAGCCAGTCTAGGTGGTGCACACCTGTAATCCCAGCTACTGAGGCACAAAGCTGAGGCACAAGGATAACTTGAACCCAGGAGGTTGCAGTCAGCCAAGTTCATGCCACTGCACTGCTGCCTGGGCAACAAAGTGAGACCGTCTCTCAAAAAAAAAAAAAAAAAAAAAAGAAAGAAAGAAAGAAAGAGAGAAAGAAAAAGACTGGGAACAAGGCAAAGATGTCCCCTCTCACCTTTTCTTTTCAATATCATACTGGAAGTTCTTGTTAATGCAATAAGACAATCACAGGAACTGAAAGGAATATGGATTGGGAAGGAAGATAAAACTATCCTTGTTCACAGATGACATGACTTTCTATGTAGAAAGTCTAAAAGAACCAGCAACAAAAAAACCTCCTGGAAATCATAAGTGATTAGAGCAAGGCTTCAGGATACAAGGCAAATATACAAAAGTTCCTTCCTTATGTGTGAGCAATGAACAAGTGGAATTTGAAAGGAAAAACATACTACTTTAATTAGCACCCAAAAGAGTGTAATACTTAGATATAAATCTAACAAAACATGTACAGGATCTGTATGAGGAAAACTGCGAAACTCTAAGGAAAGAAATAAAAGAACTAAATAAATGGAGAGATATTCCATGTTCATGGATAGAAAGATTCAATACTGTCCAGATGTCAGTTGCCTTAGTCTGTTCAGGCTACTATAACAAAAATAACTTAAACTGGGTATTTTATAAATAGCAAAATTTATTGCTGACAGTTCTGGAAACTGGGAAATCCAAGATCAAGGCGCCAGCAGATTTGGTGTTTGGTGAGGGCCTGTTCGTCACACATGGCACCTTCTCATATGGCAGAATGGGCAAACAAGCCTTATAGAAAGAGCTACAACCTCTTCTATAAGGATATTAATCCCATTCATAAGGGCAGAGTCCTCATGACTTAATCACCGTCCAAAGGCTACACATTTTAGTATGATTGCATTGAGGATTAGGTATCAATATATGAATTTTGTGGGGACACAAACATTTAAACCATAACATCAGTTCTTCTCAACTTGAGCTATAGGTTAAATGCAATCATAATGAAATTCCCAGCAAGTTATTTTGTGAATATCTATGAATTTATTCTAAAGTTTATATAGAGAGGCAAGAAGACCCAGATCCATCAATACAATATTGAAGGAGAAGAATAAAGTTGGAGGACTGACAGTACCAGATTTCACTATTACTTAAAGCTACAGCCATCAAGACAGTATGGTGTTGGTGACAGAACAAACAGATCGATGGAACAGAATAGAGAGCCCAGACAGGAATAGACCCACACAAATACAGTCAACTAATATTTGACAAAGGAGCAAAGGCAATCCTATGGAGCAAAGATAGCCTTCATCAAATGGTGATGGGCATCTATATTAGTTTGTTCTCACACTGCGGAAAGACATACCTGACACTGGGTAATTTATAAAGGAAAGAGATTTAATTGACTCACAGTTCAG